ACATCAGCTCTACTGGTGATTCATTGAGATTCTTGATTTCTTAAGTGACTTCTATTGTTCTTTACTAACAAATTGCTTGGGTGCTATAGGGCTTTTATATCTATAAATTACAGTAGTTCTGTTTCCACTGAGAAGCATAGAATAACAAGTTCACGTCAGTATTATGTAATAATTCCAAGATTCATTGAAAAATTTTTTCTTTATGTACAATGGGTGAAGAAGTTTCCAATTTAAGACACCAGCTGCTATGATTTTCCTATTGCTGTTGAGAGTGATGTGAGTGTACTATACGCTTCTGCTTATATGCTATTGATACAAAGAACCAATTTATATATCAGTATGGTAATCTGTAATCCTCAGAATAGATACAGTAACCTTTACAACAAACATTTCCAATTTTTCAATTTTTATGACACCTTCACTACTAAGAGAATGAATCAGATATGGACATTTTTGCAGGAAAGCACCTATGCAGAGCTGGCAGTAGTAATCTGGCAAAATTTCTAAGACAATAGTATGAAAAAGGTCATGACAATATCTATGGACTTGGAGACCTTCACTATCAGTTTTTTCCAGTCCTTTACCATAAAATTGGCTATATCTGGACAACTAGTTGACTTGAAACTTCCAGGAATTATAGGAGTTGTACAAACATTATGCACTGTGCTTTTTTTGACACTGCTTCTGCTTAGTACCAGTTGTGTCGAAGTCTGTATTATCTTGCATTTGCAATGCTGACCTTCTTCCCTTTTATTAGAAGGTTAAAGGTTTTAACAAAAAAAGTAGTACCATAAGAATAGATGGATAGTTGAGTTGGTATTTGTACAAATAATGTGGGGGGAGTGGGTTAAGGGATGAAGGGGGAGAGAAAGAAAGGAAAGGGAATGAAAAAAGGAATTTAGATATATTACATACACGAAACAATTTCCCACAAGAAATGTAAGCATTGTGTACTAGACACATATACTAACAAACTAAAATTTAAGAAATAGATGAGTAACATAAGCCATATGGAATCTCCAAGAATCAAAATGAAATGGTAGAATTTGAAAGCTCTTTAGTAGAAAAGGAAAATGCTTTTATGTGCTTATCAGTAGACTGGCCATGGCCAAAGAATGGATCAGTGAAGATAGATCAATAAAAATGGAACATAATATCCAAGAACCATCAGAAAATTTCAAAAGGTATTAAAATATATGTCATTGGAAGAGCAGAAGGAACTTTGAATTAGTAATGGCAGACATCAAACTGTGTATAGATCTAAGAAGTTCAGAGAACACCAAGTAAGATAAATCTATATTTTAAAGTCACTATACCTTGGTATTGGTATGTCATACTCAAACTGCAGAGAACCAAAGATAAAGAAAAAAATCTTAAAAGAATCCAGAGAGAAAAAACAAAACAAAACATATTATGTATATAGGAACAAGGATAAGAATAATAGTGTACTTCTCATTGGAAATCATACAAATTAAAAGAGAGCGAAGTGAAATAGTTTAAGTGTTGAAATTCACTCTGGTAGCGTGCTAAAGGATGGATTTGATGAGTGAATTCACTGATCTTTTTAAGTATTTTTGATCCACTATTGGTTGAATCCACACATACAGAAGATAAGGATATTTAGGGCCATCTACACTCAGGTCTGACAATAAGGTATTGCCTCCCACTCTTGCTGATTTCTCTTAAGATGCTAACAGATGACATGGTGTAAGTGAAATAGTGTAAAGGGTGATCCTTTAAGTCTCTAGTGTTGTCCATGTTAATAGGGAGCTTCTGATTTTTAAATACTAAAAACTCAAATAAAAGTAACTTTTGGAGATGAAAGGCACTGGTTTTATATTTTAAGAGACTTTATATAATGGTGGTCTATTTTGTTTATAGAACAAACAGTTGTCCTTCAAATATTAATGCATTTTCACTACAAATGAATACAGTGATTTCCTCTTTTCACTTCTTTTATCCATGGCTCTGAAATTTAAAATATATTTCTCATGATATAATTGCATTACTAAGATTTTTTTTAAAAGAGCTGGGAAGCTAACCTAGGGCCTTGCACATACTAGGCAAGTGTTTCACTGCTGAGCTATAACTCCAACCCTCTCTTTCACTCTTTAAGCAATTGTATATACATACGTTTATTATGTATTGATTGATCCATCAATTGATCTATGTATGTATGTATGTATCTATCTAGTTATCTACCTATATATCCATATATTGGAGAAGATATTTTAGACATTGCTAATAGCTAGCAAAGACTAGCAAATATAAACCTTTCTTTGGGATTGACTTCTTGATTCCGAATATTTCCATTGTTTTGACTGAAAAATATGTATATTTGAACATTTACCCTCATGAAACTTTTGTCAGAATAAAATTTCTACCTGAATGATAAAATAAAAATACTTTGAAAGCAATAAAACTTAGTATAATTATTAGTCATCATAGCATTACTCTTTTAATATATATTAAAATCATTAATTTGCTGGTAGTTTTCAAAATCTTGCCTTGTCTTTGGGAATATCCTAAGTATCTTTAATAGGAATCATTTGCTGAGCTTAATATAAAAATATTTTAATCTAAAAAGTGATCCATCTGGTAGACATATCAAATTAATAGAATTTAAAATTGAGCTCTACTTTCCAAAAATTAGACATAGCAAAATTCTTAACAAGCATAGATACATCTTTACTATAATTTCATCACACATTATATTTCCCACATCTGTGTGATTTAGAATCAACTAATGCAGACCTGTTATTAAGTAGGTAAGAGAGAGTTGATGGTAATTTAAAAAAACAAGCTTCATTTATATGTCTATGGGTATTTTGATTGGGATTGTATTAAGTTTGTATAACAGTTTTGACATTTTTATTATGTTGGTTCTTCCTACGTACAAGCAAGGTGTATCTTTCCATTTTCTGATATTCTCTTTGATCTTTTTTTTCCCAGAGTGTTGTAGTTTTAAATGTAAACATCTTTTACTTCCTTTGTTAGATTGATTCTTAAGTGTTTAATTTTTTCAAAACTATTGATAGGTGTAAGCAAAGATTTTAGGAACAAAACCCCGATCACATAGGAAATATTACAAAGAATCAACAACTGGAGTCTCATCTTATTAAAAACAAATCACCAACAGAGTGAAGAGACAACCCACAAAGTGAGAAAAAATTTTTGCCAGCTGCTCCTCAGAAGAAAGACTAATATCTAGAATATATATGAAGAACAGAAAAAGATCAAACCCTCAAAATTTAAAGACCCAATCCAAAAATGAGCATCTGAGATGAACACACACCTCAAATAAATATATGAAAAAAATGTTCAACATCACTGGTCATTTAAGTCATGCAAATTAAAACAATGCTGAGATTCCACCTCACCCCAGAAAGAATGGTATTATCAAGAAATCAACTAATAATAAATGCTAGTGAGGCTCTGGGTAAAAGAAGCCCTTCCTGCACTATTGGTGGGAGTGTAGTCTGGTGCAACCACTTTAGAAATCAGTGTGGGGATTCCTCAAAAAACTAGGACTAGAGGTCCCATTTGACCCAGCTACACTCCTTCTTGGTATCTTCCCCAAAGAATTAAAAACATCACACCACAGTGATATATGTTCACCCATGTTTATAGCACCACAATTTGTAATAGCTTAATCTTGGAAACAGCCCAAATACCCCTAAATGTACCAAATCCCCCAAGATGACTGTGATTATTACATATCAAAGACATGTACTAATAAATTAAACATAGTGAAAAAAATATGTATGTATGCACATATTTATGCTCCCACATACCTACATGTAATCAAACACACATATGCACAACCATATAAATGAAGCAGAAACGTTCCCTACCTCCCTCCAAATCACCCATAAGGGTAAATATGTGTTTCTCCTTATTATGCACAACGACCTCCGATATAGTCTATTCAAGTTTATCTTACTTTTTTACGTAAAGATTCTGCATTAACTATTGAAGGAGCCTCATTAACCGCTGAAGGAATCACATGAAATGGATGATGGTATGCACTGCTCTAGTGGAATATATGGCAACGTCTGAGTGGAGGAATAGGGCAGGGCTTTGGGAATAGGAATTGTACCAGTTGCACAGGATGGAAAAGGCAGGGAGAGACAAGGACACCCAAATTGGTGGTTATTGTGTTCACAAGGGCAAACATCTATTGCATCACTGAATATCATCAAGTGAGCAAAGTTATTATAAAACATCCTGAGAAATAATTAGAAAATAATTTAAGGTGAGGAGAGGGGAAATGAAGAAATAAGCAGAACACATGTGGAGGAACAAATACAAATTTTAAAATCTTCCTATGAATCTTTACTTAGGTATGAATAAATATTTAATTAGTCATAAAGTCAAAGCAGCTTTTGAAATAATTGCCTCAAAAACTTAAAATATAAGCAACTCTATGCTATTCAAAATTCAGTCAACTAGTAATAAAAATGCAAAAATTCATAACCTTAGAGACAAGAAACATGTTAAGCTTCTACTATGAGCCAGGAATTAACGCGGGTTTTTTTTTTTTCACTTAATCCTCACAACCCTGTGACACAAATATTGATGTTCTCATCCTACAGATAAGGAAGCTGAGTTTAAGACAGGTTAGTTTTTCTGAATGCAAAAGGTAGTCAGCTAGTCAGATAAAAATCAGACATCAGGAACCAGGCTTATCTGAATGAAAAGCTTGTACTTTATCGATACAGTTCCAATTATGAAAAGTATTACAATTAATGTTTTAAAGAACTAGCTCTATTTTTTAAAAGTTCATTTCAGTAGACAGCACCACTTTTCCCACCAGATTGTGATGTCAAAGTAGCTCCTTACAGTCCAACCTTCATTATTTACCCGATAAATAAGGATTTATAACTAAAATAACAGTCAATGTTTTAAAAAAATATTGATAATTGCTGCCAGACGCTTGGAAGCCTCCTGAATTTGCGCATACTCAGGTCTTACGCGCCAGCAGGGGGCAGGCGACAATTTTTGTGCCCCGTGGCTGAGCTCTGGCGTTCCCTCTTCTGGGAGTCTGTCACCTAGCCTGTCTGGATACGCTTCCTTAGCAACGGGTTGCCCTGGGAAACCGGAGGACGCGAGCGAGGGCCGGTTGCCGGCTAGCTCTTAGCCCTTGCTTGCTGTCCGAGGCGCGGGCGAGCCATGTCGGAGAGCCTCTGCCAGTGGCTCAATCAGGAGTTGAAGGTGTCCCGGACCGTGAGTGAGTGAGCACGGCCGAGGGCGAGCGGGCGAGGGGCGCGCAAGGAAGCGGCGGGACGGCGTCGCGCCCGTGGGCACCGCGGGCGGGGGCGGCGCCCCTGAGCTCAGCGCCACCCCAGCAGTCCTTGCGCCGGACTGCTCAACCCCCACCCCCACCCCCCCACCCCCCCGCCGGGGCCGGCTCGCTGCGCTCCCCTCCGTCCGCTGGTTACCCTTCACGCAGTGGACCGTCCTCGCCGTGTCTGACCTACTGTGTGGTTCCAAGCAGGCAGTGGGTTTAGGGATGGCTTTTTTGCTCCTAAGGAGAGGGAACTTTGCTGATCTCTGCGGTCCGACCACGAATTGCCACCTTCCCGGAGCCCTCTGAGTGCTTTTCTTCCCTCCAGCGGAGGAGCGTGTGTGCAGTTAGTTATTTAGCATACGCTAACATTTTAGAAGTTTCAAGCTTAAAATTTACAAACTTTTGCTATTTCTGGCATTACTGACACTCAAACTGACCGTTGCACTAACCTGATTTTATCTTAGTCACGTAATTACAACTCAAAGCTTCTGAATCTCAGGAACACTGGAGCAGTTCGGTGAAGCCAAGTAATTCCCGCGCAGAGCTGCTGTCCACCTCGACCCCTTTGCAGTTCTTCAGTGGGAGTTTGTTTTCCGCTTGTGTGGTTTTTCAAGGCAGGAGGTTTTCAGTACAAATCACTTCCACCTCCTTTCCCCGAGGAACCCTGGCAAAACGGCCAACTTGATGCCAGTGGAGCAATGGATGATGTGGGTTCAACTCTAGGTCATCCATACAACTTGCGTAGTTCTTCGGGCGCAGTATTTGTTGTCTTTAACGTGGAGCCTCTTCAGCTCCAGTTTCTTGAGGCGTAAACCATAAGTGCTTTCTTGGCCAAATCAATACCTACAGCTAAGTGGCAAGAAATTCTTTCCCAGGGTTCTATCTTATTATGTCTCCTGAAATATGACGCTGGCATCAGGACACTATTTAGCACTTATAATTCCTTATTCCTCTCTCAACTAAGAATCCAAAAACAATATCATGACTCAAAGTTGACTCTTCCAAAGGAACAGCACTTACAGATTGCTTAGTTTAATTTTGTTCTTTTGATTAGTAAAATTCACACCCTTTGCTCAGGTTCCTAGAATTTTCTGGCCAATTAAAACACTGTTGGGGAAAGTAAGTAAAATTAACAAGAAATCTATAAAAAGTAGATGCTTTTATAATTGTAATCAGTTTTTGGAATATTTGTTTTGAAAATGAGAGGAAAAATGACTTCATTCTGTGAAAATTAAAAGCCCCAAGGAATGATAATAACAGGATAAGCTATGAATGGGAAATTCCCCGTGTCCACTTTCCTGTCTGAAAGTTGTTAGCAGACACGCCACATTCTAATTTCCTTTCAATCACCGGCAATAGATATTTATTGCTATATCTCAACTGCTGCAAAATGTTTAAGGAGAAACAATCTTTGAGGTAAACAGATTCCACATGTAAAGAGTTTCTCAGAGTATAGTGAACACAATCAACTGTGCTTGGAAACACACAAATTGGACCTGTATACCAAGGAAGCAACCTCCTGCTCTTTGTTTTCCATCATTAGATAAGTGATTCTGTGGGGTCCAAAAAGAAACTGGATATTTTGTAGAAATTATCATAGAAAAACTGTATGTATAAGTTCTGGGGGCAGTGAGCTGGCAATTTCAGAGTTGCGTAAGGACAAAGTTTTAGAGGATAGACTGCCAGGGTTGAGACCTCCAATCCACTAAACTAACTTAGACCTTGGACAAATATTTACCTCAATTTCATCATACTTTAAAATACCATTAATAATTATACCTCATCAGGCTGTATCAAGATTAAATGAGATAGATCAATGTATAGTATTTTGAATAGCACTCAAGGCACAATAATATCACATTTTACAGCATCTAGCATATAAAAGCAAAGACAGCAATATATAAGATTATTTGAACAAAGTTGTTTTTCCACCATGTTGATTATAGGGGGGAAAAAGACTGAAAACAATCTGAATATCTTTCAAAAGTGTAATACTTGGTTAAATGATGCTTTATTCAACTATGGATTATTATACAAGTTTAAAAAGAATGTTAACTGCTCTGATTTTTGATCCAAAGGATATTCATTTGTTTTTGTCAAGTAAAGAATCAAAGTTACAGCTTATTGTGGTTAGTGTAATTACATTTCTGTACCAACTAGGAAACACATTTATATAAATATAGGTATTTATTTGAACATAGGGATAAGTACAGGAAGCTATCTAGTGGCAGTGAACTTAAGGCACTCATGCCGCAGTGGGCTGTTTGTATCTTTGAACTCTCTAAAACGTTTGCCTCACTGTACTAGACTGTTGACATACACAGGAGTTTCATATTGTGGTCATAAAAACAAAGAGAAATGTATGTAGGATAGAAAACAGTGTATTGATATTGGTTGCCCTGGAAAAAAGAGAGTATGATAGCCTTTTTTAATATACATTTTTGTTGTTTGGTTTGTTGCTTGTATTGTCTTCATAGTTTCAAGGAAAAACTCATTAAAGCATTAAAATGTGAAAAAAGAGGAAATCAAACTTCATGACAAAATAGGAGAGAAGACTAACTTTTAAGTTGCGATATGATAAGCATCTTAAATGTAGTAGTGCAGGAGCTTGTGGAAGTTATTTTCTCAGATGAAGTGTATAATTGGAAGAATAACGATAATAAAATGTATCCTTTATTGAGCACTTACAAACTTACAACAAATTCTGTGCTAAGCCCTTTACATAAGTTATCTTTCTCAATGTTACAAACAACCCTAAAGCATTTCCTCAAGTGTATAGATAAATAAATGATGCTGAATTTGGTAATTTGGCAGTTTCACTCGACTAATAGGTTGTCAAGCAAAGCTTTGAACTAGGTCTCTGACTTATGTTTTCAGTGTTATATATTAGAGTTTACATTTCAAAATACATATATTCCTAAAGTAATCCTCCCAAGCCTATTCATTTGAACTCTTTTATAAAGGCTATTGTTCAATTTGAAGTCAAAGGAAGTATAGAAATTCAGCATGAGGCATGTTATAACTTCACAGGGCATAATTCCTAGATAGTTAAATGGCAAAGATAGATGTATTATTGTTTGCTTAGAAGCAGCTCAGTCCATTCACTGTAGGCAAAGAAACAGGTTAAGAATGGCAAGTGAGTGCCTTGATAAAGCCAAATAATATTTCAATTCTTGTTAGAGAAGGAGCCAAAGTCAATTGATTTCTGGGTTATTCTGGAAGGTAGATGCTAATTTGGAGTCTCTCCGTCTCTCTGTCTCTGGCTCAAACTCAGGACCTTACGTTTCCCAGGCAAGCACGGTTCCACTGAGCTACATCCCTGGTCTCCCTCACCCTCTCTACTCCTCCCCTCCCCCTCCCCCTTCCCCTCTCCCTCTGCATCAAGTGGAGGGTTCAGCTTGAGCTCATACCAGAAGATTGGGTATCAGGTTCAGGGCTTCTCTTGATCTCATGAGGTTCCAGAAGAATAGAAGACAGTGTCCCCCAGTTGGTATTAGATGTAGGCTTGGCTTGATCCCATGAAGATCTGGTGCCAGAAGAATTGAAGACAGCATTCTCCTTGATTAGCAGGTCTCTAAATTGACAAGTCACCCACAATTACCCAGCTGCTTTGCCGTGCCCCAATCTTCTGCCTCACATATCTAATGTCTGATTATTCCTTCCTCAACCAATTTTGGCACCTGCCTTGAGGATATCTAAAAGGATCCATACTCTGAAGGGGCTAGACACAAAGCTATTTGTTTTCTAATGTAAGTATTTGTCATCCGTGCTTATCTTATATAGTCATACCTAAAAAGCACCCACCAAAAATCTAGAAATACCAGGCTTTTGCATGTGATCTTAGTACTCACTGGGCAGTAGGTTATGCAGTCCTGATGGTGAAAAGAATAATAAGCAGTAGATTTAGGAGATAGCTTCCCATAGAAGGTATTTTTGGCGGAGGGACCTTAGCAACACTGAGTTTGGGTAACACTGCACCTTCTGTATAACACATTTAGAATATCAGAAGACATGCTTATTGCTTTCTGAAATGAAGATTTAGTTTTTGACTCTAAATACAATCCATTGAAGTGGACATTGTGACCCTCCACCAGAACTCCCCTGTAGGCCTTGTTTTTCTACCTCTTTGAAGTGCCACAAAGTACCACAGCCTGGGTGGTTTAACAGTTTGTCCTTACAGTTTTGCAGGCAAGAAATCCAGAATCAAAGTGTTGGGAAATCCATGCTCCTTCCAAAACCTTGACAGGAGGATGCATCCTCCCTCATTTAGCTTCTGGTACCTCAGGTGTTCCTTGGTCTGTGACAGAATAACTCCAGTCTCTACCTTCTACTTCACATGGCCATCTCTATTTTTGTGTCTGTTTCCATGTCTGTGTCCAAATTTCCCCTGTGTCATAAATGTACTCGTAATAAGAGTTAAGGACAATGCTGATTCAGTAGACTCTTATTGTAACTTGATTACATTGGGAAAGACTCTATTTCTAAATTAGGTTATATTCCCAGGTAAAGAAACTTAGGACTTGCCTCTATTTTTTTTGAGGGGGAGAGAACTCAATCTATAACTTCCTCATTATTTATTTATATATAGTTATTGACAAGACATCCCTGTGGCACTTTTAATAATGGTTCAGGAAAATGAAGTTCTGTATAATTGTATTCTTCTTATTGGCTGTACATCAAGGGAGAAGGCAAGAGCTTACTCCTGGTTTATAAAACAGCTTGGAAGGTAAGAATTCCAATTAAACTTACTAAACAAATTATAAGCAAAATTTGTTTTCTCTTCCAAGATCAAGATGCTATCTTGAGCCCTTTGCAATTCTGCCTTGCACTGGAGAGTGTTAATCCACTGATCTTGAAAGAACACTTAGAAGGAATGTAAATGCCCTTACTGCGACTAAATGTTTCAAGACACATTTTAGAGCTATTAAGTAGTATGATGC